GGATTCATGATCTTTGTCCTGCATCGGTTCAGTCTTATGGTCAAACCCAGCAGAATCCCCACCAACACAAAGGCCACGCCCCAGGCAGACACTGTCAGCTTGATCACCATCTTGTTGGTCATGATGGCAGCGTAACGCAGAGGATGACAGATGGCCACATATCTGTCAAAGGTCATGATCATCAGCACCGTGTGGGAGGTGGTGCCAAAAAGTTGTGTAGTGAAAGCTTGGACCACACACTCGTAATAACTGATGAGACGTTCAGAGGGAGGACGCAGGATGTCCGACAGCAACCGGGGAACAATATGAGTACTTCCAATGATGTCACTGACTGACAGGTTACAGAACAGGAGATACATGGGCTGGTGAAGGTTCTTATCTATGACAATTAGAATGGAAATTCCAATATTCATAACCATTATAACAATATAGGAAATAAAGTACAAGAAAAAGACAKGGTACATGGTATCCTTTGTCACCTTTATCCCCTCCATCTGGAGAGTGAAGCTGTTGTAGGTGTAGTTCTCCATCAACCTGGAACACAAATGTATAGTTTGTGTTATTATATCCGTTGAGTTAGTCTTGATACAACTGATACTTTAAAGGTCCAAAAAGTTAAAGTATCAACAAAAGCATGCAACAGTACAAATCCTTACAAATTAGAAAACTACAATTCGACATTATAAAATATTTTTCAACAWTYATAGTTGTAGTAAAGCGAGACGTGCTTTGGGACTTAGTTTCATCAGTCTTGACTCATCTGTACCTACAGGTCCTAGCACAGCAAGACCTCCTTCTTTTTTAAAGACATAGCTTTTTCATTGGGGAATCAGTTAGCATTACATAATGTCTGATGTAACATCAAGGGACTTTCCTACTCKGCAAAGTTCCATTTACACTAAACTCTGCAAACAATTCTATTCAATTCAATTTTATTTGTATAACGCCAAATCCTAATATACATGATCTCAAGGCTCTTTACATAGAAGGTCAGGACCTTAAAATCATTAATCTACAGAAACCAACAGGTGAACAATGAGCAGCACTTTGAGACTGTGGAGGAGAAACTCCTCATTAACAGAGAGAAACCTCAAGAACCAGACTCAGGGTGGGTGGTCATCTGCCTCCACCGGGGGAGGAGAGAAAACAGGGGAAGGAGATGAGAGATGGTTGGAAAAGAGGGGAGAGAAGAGAGAGTGATAGTGGGGAGGGGGAGAAAGACCGGGGACACTTGAGTGCCATCAGGTTTCAGAACTGACTAGAGACTCAAGAGTGAAGTTCTGGTTAGAACCAGGGTTATTATAGTTAACGAAAACTAAGACTAAAACTAAAACTAGCAATGAAAAAATAATTTAGTTAACTGAAATAAAAATAAAAAATAAATAAAAACTACAATGAACAATGCAAAACTAACTAAAACTAAACTGAATTGAAGATAAATTCAGCTTCGTTTTCGTTTCGTTTTCTCCCTCCATTACTTCCTGTCCTGCAGGTGATGGTTAAAGAATGAAATAAAAGGACTTGATGAACCATGTTTGGTGTCACACGTCGTTTCATCCTTTTTCATCCTCTACAAGTCGAAGCTTTCTCTTAATACCTGGAAAAACTAAAACGAAATAAAAACTAAACTGAAACTAAAAAATCAGTTGTTGAACTAACTACAACTAAACTGAAATAAAAAAGCAAACTGAAAAACTAAATAAAAATTCAAAACTATAATAACCTTGGTTTGAACCGACTGAAAGTTTTAATAGTGACGACCACAAGCTGAGTTAAGCCTTGTACACACTTCAAGATAATGATGGGACACTGGTGTTGTAGTTTTCCATCTGAAATGTCAAAAATAACAGACATTCAGTTACCCTCACACATCTGGATGAGTGGGCTACAACTGATACTTTCCTGTTCATTAAGTTCCCATAAGGTAAAGTAGAAAACATACAGTTAATGACTTAAATACTTAGATTATGTTCATAAAGAGTGAACATGCATTGTATATGACAGTGCACTTCACAAATACAGTAATACTTGCTTTGTGAGTCCATCAGTGATCACTACAAGCAGGTGGTTTTCACCAACAGCTATGAGATGAACTAGACAGTCCGGTGCCAGAGGCATTATGTTTCTGGGTTGTCCGTCCGTCCGTCCGTCCCATTCCCGTGAACGCAATATCTCAAGACATCTTGAGGGCATTTCTTCGAACTTGTAGTCCAGGATGATCTGATTAAGGTCTTGACCTTCTATGTAAAGAGCCTTGAGATAATGTATATTATGATTTGGCGCTATACAAATAAAATTGAACTGATTTAGTTTTTGGAGGTCAAAGGTCACGGTGACCTCACAAAGCACATTTTTCACCTTGTGAATGTGTAAATTTGTACAGTGAAGCTTTTGTTTGATGTTTAAATACAGTTGATGTCGTTTTTCACCATTGCTTTGCCTGATTTCCCCAAAACATGTCAGGTCTCAACAACTGTATGTGGGTGACCCTGAAATTTCAAACACTTAGACAGGAAGCACAATATATTGACAACTTATTAGACATTTAAACCTGTTGTACAGTGACCCATATTAACACTTTCTAACGTAGAAGAGAGAGGAGGATGCTGAGGAAACTCCTCAGTAGAATGGACAATGCGGCTCAGCCCATGTACGCCACACTAGTGTCACACCACAGAGTGCTACAGGAAGTCTTTTCTTCCTTTGGCCATCAAACTGTACATCTCGTCCTCCTGCAGGGAGGACCACCGACTATCATCGCACACTCGGTTACAACATCCATAACAGTGCAATATTATTATGCTGCTTTTTTAAAATTTGTAATATGACCACTCATGGAAAAACACCATTCACGTGCAATTTGTGTAACATTATTGTTTTTGTTCATTATCACATTCATTTTTTATTATGTGCAATATTTAAATGTCAATACAATTTGCAGTATCCCCTTCTTTATCATTTCATTTCTACTTACTGCCACTGCAGTTAAGTATGAGTTCCTCTCTATACACTTCATTTCATTTCATTGATTGTACTTGTACTGTAATAGGGAGCAAGCTGGTACAAGAACTTCCTTTGGGATCTTATTCACTCAATATAGAGTACTTCAGTCCTAAAGCCTGGAAATGAATTAGCATTTTTATTTCTATTTAACCTTCTTCTGGAGTTAATGGGTTTTTTAATCATTTTTTCATGTTTTTGAAGTCCAACAGATTTAAGGTTTGATAAGAGGACTGTTGGGCCTTGGTCGAGGTTTGTGCTCTTCTGAGTGGCATGCTAGTCATAACATGTCTTACATTTACATTAAAACAGTACTTAGTTAAAATAACAAAAATAATTGCACAGCAGGATAATCCACAGACCTCGCTGTGAACAGGTTTTATAGGTTTCATATTTTATTTGATTCTGCTGTGGACAGTTTCTCATGCTATTCTTTGTGCTTTGAGCAAAACAAACCAAATCCCATTGTAAAACATTATAAACATGGAAGAGGTGGTGAAGGACCAGGCTGAGAAACAAAAACATTTACATTTTTAATAGTGGATAGACACAGGATACATGTTGGGAGAACATGGGGTAAATATTGGTTACAGGGTTTGCACCTAAGACCATCAGACCTCACTGATCAGGATACACTCATTTAAAGACAAACACTATTGTTTGAGACGGACTTGCAGGATAACATTGTTGATGAAACTAGCACGTAACTCTTTACTGACCAGTCCGTAGATGATGGGGTTGATTGCTGGTGGAATGATGATAAACAGGATGCTGAAGAATTTCTTGATGTTATGAGAGAGTGAGGCAATCCTGTGACTCACRWTTATGATGACTGMAGAGATCTCGTAGAGCACATACACAATAAGATGTGATGCACATGTCTGAAAGGCCTTGCTGCAGACTCTGCTGCCAGCTCTGCCTCGTTTCACAGAAGCATGAAGGATTCTAAAGTAGGAAAAGGCAATGATGACGAAGATCCCTGTACTCAGAGACCAGGACATTGACAGACCTAGAGAAACAGACGAAAATCACAGTGACTGGTTTGCAGAGCTCTTTTAGAAATGATCAATCTTATTTATGTGAAATATTTAAATGTTACTGTATAACACTGTGAGAACAGCAGCAATATGAAACTAATGAACTCATTTCCATGGATTTTCTTTGATTTCTCAGAAWATCATTCATGGATCTTGATGATAAAAAGTCAGGCATAATTAGGAGACTGCAGTTTGATGCAAATCCAAATAAAAGTCCTGGATCTAGTGAATTAAACTTGGTTTCACAAGGRGACTGTTGTTTTGGCAGAGCAATGCACTCTACTGAGGGACATTGCAGTTTAGTTCTGTGAAGTCTTGCTCTAGTTTGTGTGGTGCTGTTAGCGTTCAGTCTTTWACTAAGCGCAAAACAAATGAAATCAGCGGTTGTCACTGACTCAACACGTTGTTCTACACCAGTGCACTGACCATAGATGTTATTTGAGGGGGTGGACCTGCAGGCCAGGTTCATGATAGCACGGTTGCTGCAGWRGACATGTTGGATGGTGTTGCCACACAGTGGAACATTCATGTGAAGGGTGAAGAGCACCCCGATACAGAGCAGAGCGACGGACCAGGCCAGGACACAGCAGGTGTACAGCCGAGCTGACGTCATGATGGCGTGGTACCTGAGCGGCTCACACACAGCAATGTACCTGCAGACGCATTGATGGAGGTTATGGATATATTTGATATACAAGGTCTCAGCATCTCTTACTGTTGATGAATATATGAGGATATCGCAATGAAACAGAGACACTTGTGCTGAGTTTGAGATTATTTTACTTTATAAAACCATCTGATTATGTGAATTCTGCTGCTAAAGAAAAAGCACATTCATTGAGTTTGTTCACTCTTTTCTGTGAAAATCATTGTACCTGGATCTAAAACYTATGAGAACTAGAGTAAAAGAATAACGTGAAGCTGTGAGTAATTCTCCTGAGGTGCTTTCGATACCTGTCATAGGCCATCGCAGCCAGAAGAGTCTGCACTGTGGCGCCGTACATGTGCACAGTGAAGGCCTGAGCGATGGCTGTGATGTAGGCGATCCTCTTCTCCCCAGTCAAAAAGTGCATCATGAGGCGAGGCAGCACCGCGGTGGAACCCAGCACATCGCAGACTACCAGATTACAGAGCAACACAAACATGGGTCTATGCAGGTTCTTGTCTATGACAATGATGCACATCACCACACCGTTCCCCAACAGCACCACCATGTAGTTAAAGAGAGCCAGGAAGAACAGGAAAGATCCGTAGCCTGGAGKTATAGAGAAGCCCTCCAGCTCGAACACGATAGGCTGCCTGAGAGGAGTCATCATTGACCCGTTCTCCATGCAAATGTTGTTAAGACACAGGTTGATCAAAATCTTCTGAAGAGGAAACTTTTCAGGAATCAGACCGAATCAGTTTGTCACCTAAACCTCAGGAGCATGATTCTTAACTAAGGAAAAAGATTAGCGCCACCAGCAGTAAAACAGGAAGCTGATACTTGATGA